TATTCATTGAAATGCTTTGACAGAAATTCAGAGAGAGTCAATAACAATTAAGATTCACAGCAGAAGGAGGTGAACCAACATTTCCAATGGAGAGTTCATAATGAGAGAACTCATCGACAGAGGGAGAAGAAGTTCATAATGAGAAGAGCTTGTTCGACTTATCACTCGATTTATGACATTTTGAATCAGTGACACCTCGCTTGAGGGATTGATATTTTCAAGAGAGTTCATGAGAAGAACTCATCCAACGAGGAAGAAGTTCATAATGAGAAGACTTGTTCAAATTCGCATCAACATTTTCAATGGAGAGTTATAATGAAAAGAACTCATCCGATAGAGGGAGAAGAAGTTCATAATGAGAAGAGCTTTTTGACTATCACTTGATCACGACATTCGAATCAGTGACGCCTCGCTTGAGGGATCGACATTTCCAATGAAGAGTTCATAATGAGAAGAACTCATCATAAAGGAGAAAGTTCATAATGAGAAGAACTTGTTCCTTTCAAATTCACCACAGATGGAGGTGAACCAACATTCCAGAAGAGTTTCATAATGAGGAAGAACTGTCCTAAAGGAGAAAGTTCATAATGAGAAAAAATGTTCTTTCTAAGTCCACCGCAAAAGGATTTGTATCAACATTTCCAAAAGAGTTCATAATGAGAAGAACTCATCCACGGAGAAAAAGAAGTTCATAATGAGAAGAACTTGTTCATCTAACGACGAAGGAAGAATAGAAAATGGTTGTCTGTTTCGTCTTTGCCTATTCTTGTTAACACAGAATGTGCAAAGAGGGCAGCTGTAGACACCCATTTTTTTATTTTTTTTGTCAAAGTTAAAAAATTATTAAATTATTATTATTATTAGTATTATTAAGTGTATTTATATTTTTTGTGCAGGCAAATGTGGTCCAATTATAAGCAACCCAACAGACCCAGATCAATAACGTACCAAGCCTCTCCACCGACGAGTCACTAAGGCTAGTCACCTGAGCAAGTTGAAACATCATCATCACCATGTCGGCCACGAACAGCAAAAACAAACAAATAATATCAGCAAAGTCAAAGCATATCACCTAAATCATACTAACCTGTCAATATCCTACCATAAACGAAGAAAATGCAGATGCATCCATTAAGATTAGGTGGAGATATCAACCATAAAATAGGCAGAGGATTAGAGAAAAAGGAAAAAAAAAGAAGGGGGAGATATCAGAGAGCATTCGAATAAAAAAAAAGATTGAAAGAGGGATTGGGGAAAATCCTGGCAAACGACACACTGTAAACTCTATATTCAGCAATAACAAGAGTATCAATTATTTACTATTTCCTATTATTTTCATCATTTTTAATGCATTTTTCTTTTGATTTGTTCACTTTAAATCCTTGCATGTTCGATTAGGTTGAGTAAAATTCTTTTCGATTCTCTTAGGGTATGGAAATATATATATATATATATTAAAAAAAACCACATAGATATACATTTTTATTATTTTCGAATACTTAGTTGCCCACAAATAACAGAAAATAATATGAAAAATAATTAGAGAGGGAGAGTACAAGGAAAAAAAAAAGAAAAAACTGTGAGAAAATACTGAAAAAAATCCATTCGAAAGCTTACCTTAAACTCGAAAAGAAAAAAAAACCCCGAAAGAGTAGGGAGTAGGGAGTGTGTTTAACTCTCAACGGATCCTATGACAAAGGCCATGGTGAATTCCCATCTTGTGCCTTGTCTGCTAGAAAGAGAAAGAAAGGAAAAGTGATGAGCTAGAGTGTAAAACGGCAAGAGGGGAAGTAAAGAGGAAAAGGAATGTGGCCTAGGGATTTAGCAAATGGGAAAATACACAAGGATACTGTACTGTTTGGATAGTAAGGTTCCATACACCTAGCTTATGGAATAACCACACGTTTAATCCCTGTGATTGTATCCATACCTTATAGTCATTAAAGGAAGTCTTATTATCTTATTTTGAGTTTAACATTTCAGTTTTATATATTATAGTCCTTAGATCAATATTTTTGTATTTCTAATTTTTCTCCATGCTTTATCCGAATTCAATTTCAGTCCTAACTGGTAATGTAATTCGTTTGGTTTATACATTTGATTTTTAATTTTCTGCATGTTTCTTTTAGTCCCTTATGCTTGTATCCTTATTTCAAGTCATAAATTAAAGTTATGTTTATTTTGTTTTAAGTATTTTATTTTTAATATTTATATTTTAGTCACACTATATGTTATATTATTATTTGACTTTAGTTATAATGTTAAATTATGTATCTTAGTCATTGATTTATATTGTTAATATTTTTGGTTATGTTCAATTTAACCACTAAATTTTTAAATATCCTATTTAGTCATGTTATATTAAAATATTTGTTTCAATTCGACCATATTATATTATACATTTTTTTTCCTTATATAATCGGTATATTTTTCATCAATATTTAAATTTCATCTATGTTGTGCATATTTTTTTTAAAACCTTTTGGTTATGTTCAATTTAACCACTAAATTTTAAATATCCTATTTTAGTCATGTTATTAAAATATTATGTGTTTCAATTCGACCATATATTATACATATTTTTTTTCCTTAATATAATCGGTATATTTTTCATCAATATTTAAATTTCATCTATGTTGTGCATATTTAATTTTTAAAACCTTGAGATGAGCACCTAGGCTATTTTTTTTTAGTTTTAGTGGCACACATTTTTAAATACTTGATATCAAGAATCAATTATTTAATTTCACCACTATACGAGGTCCACCATTATTTTGAAAGCATTCATTCCATTTTGGATGTATTTGCTTGTTTGGTTTTGCTTGTTTAGATTCTTTGTTAATTATATGTTAATATTTTACTATTTATGTTGAGTTTTTAATTTACTTTATTTTTATCTAGTAAGAATTAATATTATGATATTTGTGTGTGTATATATATATTACTTAATACGTATTAATAATAAATTTTAATTAATTTATGATATTTTGGTTGAACTTATTTATATTTAGTTCGTTTGACATATACATTTTCCTTAATATATATACTCAAAAATGGTCTTCAAAATTTATATTTTTTTATTCTATTCTTTAAATTTTTGTTTGTGTCGTTTTAGCCTTTTAATTTTCTAATTTTGTTATTTTGATTCCTAAAGTTTTTTATTTTGGTCTTTATAAGTTTAAATATTTTTTTGCTATTTTGTATTTAGATTTGTAATATTTATTTGTTTTACTCCAGTCCTTTGAATTTCCTCATTTAAGTTATTAATTTAAAGCAATTAATTAATATTTAATAAATGTATCATATTTTAACTTGATATTTGATTCAGGATTTTCACCATTACGACAACGTGTAAGCGAAACAGTACCAATTTTGGGCGCTGTGGGGGTGCTAATCCTTCCCCACGCGTAACCGACTCCCGAACCCGTTTTAATCGAATCTTTGGTAAATGCTGACCAGCTTTTGTCTTAAAAATGATTTTTCTTAAAATTGTTTTTAAAAGACGTTTTTAGGTATTCGACCTACCTAACCCAAAGGTTGATGGCGACTTTTTTTAATTCTTTTTAATTTATTTCAAATTACTCCAAAATCACCCATTTTCCAAAATTAAAAGTCGTAACAGTTTTTTAAAACAATTAAACGATTGTCCCCGCCGGAAAACGGTTACGACAAATATGATTGATATTAATTATATCTCACATTTTATCTTATTTTCGTAGACTCTTAATCTTTCATCTTTTTGTATATTCTCTTTATCTCTATAATTCTTATCCTATAAATAATTATTTTTGTAAAATTCATATTGATATAAATAATGAAAAAGACCTTATGTTATGTACAGTCCATAAAGCTTTCACATAAGGTACAGCTTCAACCATTGTTGGGTCAGTGCATCTGTGCTTTATTGGAACTGCACCAGCACTCATAACATTGATTAAGGCTCTAAATGAGATGAGATATATTGAAAGTTATTCGAGTTTGAATTAATTAAAGTCTTGTCAATACATGATTCAAATAAATTCAACTTGAGCTCAAATTCGAACTCGAGTTCTTAACAAGTCAAAACGAACTACTCGATAACGACTTGAAAAATTCGTGAACAACTCAAAAAATAATGTATTTAAATTTCTAACTTTCTAAATTAAATTATTAATAATATTAACATTTATATGTTATTGTTTTCTTTTAAAAAATAAAGTATAATGTTTTCATGTACTTAAAATTCAAGTTTAAACTTGAGTTCGAGCTTCAATCGAGTTAAGTCATTTTAAGTTTTTTGGAGCACGAATCGAGCTTCAAATTTTGATTTTGAGTTTGAATCGAACTTAATAATTTTAAACTCCCAAATTTTCAAGTTGAGTTCAGCTTTAAACTTTTCTCAACTCAACTCTTTAGAGCCTGATTCATCTGAGAGAGCACACTTTTTTCTTTATCCAGAATCTCAAATAGCAATGTGTAACTACTTTTTACAGTAGCATAGATGCCAACATTGGTAGTGTCAAAACACCTTATCTTCAACAGGATGATCATACACAGATCACGTATTGTATTTGCTTCATCTTCAAAGAACTCTCCAATAAGTACTAATTTTGAGATATGATGTGACAATATAGAATAACCTCAAAATACTGATTTCAAAAGGGAACATTGGCATTCACCAAACAGGTTTGTAAAACAAGGCAAATAAGAAAAAAATCTACCGAATTTATGAGATTTGCATGAAGCAAACTCTTATCCCTCAACTTCAGAAGACTCTAAAATTGATGTGAAAAAGGAACCAAACAAAGATATAGCAAACGAATGTGAAGCATGTTGTGAACAGTTTGATGTATAAAGCTGCTTAAGACTGGATAAATATTATTCAACTTTAATTTATGAGCTTGCACTGGGCAAACTCAGAAAATTAGAATATTTTTAGGTTGGAAATAAATTGTTGGAAATCCCCCCATATTGACCCCATAAAAATCAATTTTAAAAATAAAACCTAAAACCCATGAATATATAATAAAAGAATTAATAGAAAAAGAACTCTGTAGAAAACAAAATAGCATTGATGTCACAGCCTATATCTACACCCCCTTTGCCTCAAAATTTCAGCTTGCTGGAAGAGATCGAAAACTCAAGACCTCGAGCTGCTTCTGTTGCTACTGCTTCTTTATTCGTGTTGTTTGCCGTCGTCTCCTAGTCATCGCAGTTCAGACCGCAAAGTTCTAATACAGGGCCATCTTTCGAGACGAATGGGTTTATTCTAACCCACATAAGAGTCAAGATTGAGGCCAGCAGAATAGACCACACCAATATGATGGTTGGCATCCTGTCTTGTTTCCCAAGCAAACCTTTGAGGAAGGGGTAGAGGTGGATGATAACCCAGAAGGCGAAAAATAGTCTACCAAATAACGGACCCCATGAATCATACCCATTATTGATGGCATCCGAGATCCCAACCACGACACCGATTATGTTTATGATCAATAAGGTTGTGGGAGGGATCAACAAGGTCGTCCACTTAACGATATAAAGCTCCGAAAATTCACCATCATCCGCTGCCTTAGAGGTCACAGTGAAGCTTGTGTTGACACCCGCAAGTACCTTTAGTAAACCCTGAAAGAGGGCGAAAAGATGTGATGAAACACCTCCGATTACCCAGAACTGCTCATTTCTCCACCAGTCATCAATTCCGACACCACCCCACTGCATCTCAAGGATACCGGTCACGGCAATTGATATGAAGAGAAGCATAAATACGAGACTGGCGTAGTTGCTAATCTGCAAGTGAGGCAGGTTCCAAACAGTTACCATGGGGTTAATATAAAAACTAAAAATAAATCAATATGAATTCACTTTTCTCTCCAAATGCCAAATTTTAGTGTGGAGTATAAAACAAGAAAAAGTGAGATTTTTACCTCAGGAACGATAAACTGTCCGGTGAGGAGACAGATAGCTGGAAGGGTACAGTAAACAATCAAGGGAATTGATGTCCACGGATATACAACTGAGTTTATGTAGGAAAATCGTTCCAACCATTTCAACCCACCCCCATATCCATACCAAATGGGACAATGTCTGCTTAAGAAAATTTCAACAGATCCGAGAGCCCATCGTAGAACTTGGTGTAAACGATCTGAGAGGTTAATAGGAGCGGAACCCTTGAAAGCGGGGCGTTTGGGTATGCAATACACAGATCTCCAGCCATGACAGTGCATCTTGAATCCAGTCAGGATATCCTCAGTCACCGAGCCATATATCCAGCCAACCTGTGTTGCAAGTTGAAATTTTTTAGGATTACCAATGTTAATGATATTACAACTTGCCTATATTAAGAACTTGGATTTAATTTCAGGTTTCACTTACTTCCTTCCCCCATTCGGTTTTATCTTCATAACCACAGCTTATGACTTGAATAGCTTCACTCAGTAATGATGCAGGGTTTGCATTTTGAGGAACACCGCCATTCTCCAGAAGAGTGGAAGCCACGAAAACAGGGGACTGACCGAATTTCTTTTCCATTTTCATTTCTGATGTGTCTGATGACTTCTGAGTATTCGACTCTGATAGTAGAAAACAGGTTCTAGTTTAGAATGTCGTACTGAAAGTACATTGCAGGCTCAAAATAAGATTAAGGAACTTCCAGTTGTCCCCACTCAAGTAAAACATTACCTGTAATTCCCCCTTCAATGTTTTCAAGAGCGTGTATCTGCTTCGAAGCTTCCCTCGGCTTAAACTTCTTTTGCTTCTCCTTCCGCTGCTTGGTTTTCTTGTTCTTTCTTGAACAACAGCACAAGAAACAGCACCATTTCGGCAAACAATTGCAGGTCTTGCCAGGAGGTTTCTTGGTAACTGGAGCATCAAAACCGTAAAGTGCTTGCCTTCGAAAAACACACCCTGTCCCAACATAAATTGGTCCTTGTATGCCATCTAATCCTTTCATGTTGATCTATTTTCAAACTACAATATTAAGTTCTGAAAGATACCTAAAATAAAGAAACATAGTTTACAGGGAAGAAATGAAACACTTACATCGAAGAACACAACATTCCTATTCGAGTATCTATCGTGTCTATCAATTCCATCAAATCTTTGAGGAAACTGCACGTAACAAACTTTCTTCCCTGACGTTGGGTCCATCATGAAACACATGGCTTCTCTAAGTGCTTTGCTATTGTTAATATAGTGATCACAGTCAACGTTCAGAAGATATGGAGCATTTGAGAGGACTGCCGATACTCGTATCTTCAGTAAAGACAATGGAAGTTGATGAGCTTGAAACCATATGTTAAATTAAATGACAAAAGCTATGAAACAGAAATACAAAGAACTTGTGCCTCACCAACGCATTCATTGCCCCAGCCTTTTTATGGTGTTCAAAGCCTGGCCTCTTTTCACGAGATACGTAGACTAGGCGAGGTAATTCATTTCCTTCCACATCCCGAATACCATTATGACCAAGGAAAACCTATCAAAAAATAAATTTTAGTTACGCTGCAACTTAGAAGATCAATTCGAATGATAAATTGAATACAGCTCGAAGCCCCTACAAATTGTCTCATGATATAGAAACTAAAAACAATGTCTCATTAGAACTAAAATAAATCCATTCTCCCAATCAAAAATCAACTCAACGAGTCTCTAACGTATGGCCACATGCATGTCCACCAGAAACAAGGAAAATAAATTGTATGGTGCTGTAACAAAAAATGATTTCATTGAGGACAGTTAAAATCCTAAAGTGTTTTTTTCTGTAGAAGCTCTTCATCATTCAATTCATGTGCATCAGAATCACTACAAAATTTAATTAAAAAACTCACAGCAACAGAAATGCAAAATCTCACCTGAATCATGCCAGGATGGTCACGAACATTGTTTCCTGGCCATGGAGTTCCATCCTGCATTGTCCAGCCATCCTCGGGAACTTTCTGGGCTGTTGAAACCAATCCATTTATCTTAACCTTAAATTCTTCATACTCTCTCTGCACAATCAAATAATATACTCAAATAAATTTAGCATTCCATGCTATCAAATGCAAGAAATCCAACAGATCCCGTGCTGAATGAAAATAACTCTCACCTTCATAGCTCGCCTTTCTCTGACAAAAGCTGGATGAACTTTGTTTTTTAGATAGTCCATCTTCAGAGAAAAATACCACTCCGGAGCACGGGGTTCAATATTGAATTTTTTACAGAAGGGAACCCATTTCCTAGCAAATTCGGATGTCTCAGAAAGTGCTTCGAATGTGAGCATAGCAGCACCATCATCGGATACATAGCATGCAACTTTATCGACAGGATAATCAACAGCAAGAATTGACAGAACAGTGTTCGCTGTGATCAGTGGAGGTTCCTTCATTGGATCCACTGTACTCACAAAAACGTCTACACTAGCTAATTCTGATGGCTTCCCTTCTTTCTCATACCTGTACATACAGGTAAAATTAGCAAGGAAAGTGGCATCACATTCGAAATAGCATTAAGAAGAATTTGACACTGAAATAGAAATCTGAATTAATGTCAAATGATAGCACATCAACCATAGTAAGCCACAGGCAACACTACATACCTCAGAGATAATCGATCAAGGTATGTCTCACGCTCTATAGGGAACCATTTTGGGAATTGATCAAGAATCCACGAAACAGCAAACCATATTTCACATATTACAGATGTCAACCATAAGCCATAAGCATTCCTGACTGGATGTAGAAGTCTATAATGAAAAAATAGGCCAAGAATCACAAGACGGAGAATGATAATCATTCTGTATGGGTTTATCTTGCTTGAAGAAATGGGTAGCTTCCTCGAAAGTGGTTGCCTGCCCTCATCCATCCTGGAAAGAGAAAAAATTAATCCACTACTGTACATATACAAGAAAAAGCTTTCTTGGGCAGAATTTCAAAAAAAAAAAATACCCTAAAAAATCCATCGATGTGTATACTTCATAAACACTAATAACAAAACAATCCCTTACATTGGCAAATCAGCATCATCCAACTCCTCTCCATCAAACTTTCCACCATCATTCCCTCCTCCATGCTTAACTACCTGAAGTTTGTCATTCTGCTTTTTCTTCCACTCCTCCATCCGATCCTTCCATGCGACACTTCCATAACCGTATACTGCTATATCTTTCTTAGGAACCATTGGTCTGGGTTGCACTGCAACAAAAGAAACACTAAGGTTCGAGACTATAGAGAAGCAGTTAAAAATTGTTAATAAACACCAAGGATAACGAGTTTTACAAGGTACAGAAGGATCAGAATAAGGCATTTGATGAACTCTATTTCCGTGGCCCATAAAAGGGGGTACAATGAGAGCATGATGATCAGCAGAAATCTCCAAACCCTAAAACAATTAAATAATTTTTAGAATGTAAGTATTGTTTGTCAAACAGTGTAAAAACACAGTGCATGTGAAACTACGAACTCGTTATAAATACATACAAAATAGAGGAGGACTACTCACCTCCTCACCATAGGTCAATAGAGGAATTTGTGAGCTAGGAGGAGAAGAATCCAATTCCGAGTGTGCTGGCATTCCCGAAGCATTAGGGTAAGAACCACGGCCAGAGTTAAGGCGTCCACTGAGCATTGTCTCACCAACTAGCTGAGGATCTGAAGTATCGTAGTCAAACTCATTGTCCAGATCATCTATGTCATCTTCTTCCTCATCACCTTCAACCCTAGGACTGCCTGCAGTACAATCACTAGTTTAGACAGTTGTAAGACATTTTGGCTGCTAACGTAAACAATGAATTGCAGTAAATGATCTTCACCTTTGATTCGTTTGTATCGGGTTTTGCACTGAGGGCAAGCTTGATTTCCCTCTCTTCTCTCATACTCATAGCAGGGTCTGCAGACAGGGAACGCACATTCATTGCATGCAACAAAGGGCTCTCCATCGACTGTAATCTCAATTTCATCCCCACAGATCTGACATGTTTGCCCACTCAATTCTTTCACGGACTTTATCTGAAAAGAACCACAACCATAAAGTGTACCATCAGTGCCCCAGCCATAAAATGTAACAACCCTAAAATCCAGAGAGAGAAAACTTAAATCCCCATGAAAATTCTATTTTCACAGCACTGTAAAACTGTTGCCAATGGATTTCATGACGATTTAATCAGTTAAAAATTAAAAATACCAAATTAAAAATGCTATAAAGCTACACCATTGATGGATTTACATCAATATCTGCAACAAATGCAAAGATTGCACAACATACATTTGTCAATTTCCAGAAGACTTGGAAATTTCAGAAGAATTCCGCAATTTAGCGTGATAAAAAAATTACACCAGAATCAGAATCTTATTCATCCTTCCATACTGTTCCAAATACCCAGAATCTAAACAAAAGTGCTTTACAAATCCCAAATGCAAAAAAGATATCTTAGCTACGACAACTAATCACAATCCATGCAGCTAAAAAACACCCTTCTTCACCAAAATCAACACATATTGACCGTTTTTGAGGAAAAGTCTATTAACCAAGCAACACTCAAACGACTGAAACATCTTTTTTATCTTCCTCTAAAAAAAAACCCAAAAACATAAGTCGGATTAAATCTGACCGTGTTTTGGTAGGAAATGAGAAAAGGTTGAGATTTTCCGATCTATGTTTCACTACAAATGTAAGAATTAGGATATTGAGATTTATGGCTCAAAATAGTGATGAAAAGGTGGGAAACTGTGTAAATCTAGCCCCCCAAAGCCCTAATTCTTACATTTGTAGTGAAACATTGATCGGAAAATCTCAACCTTTTCTCAATTCCTACCAAAACACAGTCAGATTAAATAGAAAAAAAACTATTTTATAAATTTTGAGAAATAGAAAAATAAGCAAACGGATATTCCTCAATAGCTAATAAAGCTTCTTTTTTATAGATTTCGTGTGCCTTACCCTGGAATTTTCATCAGCATTGATCAAAACAAACTCATTTCTGTTATGAGAACCAGCAATGAGTCGACCTCCGGTGTCCATAACTCACTACAGAAACAGAACAACCCAACTCAGCAAAACTCGGCCTCTTTCTTCACCAAATGATCTCAAATCTCGGCACCACTTAGTTCATCAATAAAAAAAAAACCCAAATATCAGCTCCCTTCACATGAAATACAACCGCCGTTGGAATGCAAAAGTGTAGCCTTTGATGGGACAATACTAATTTAAAATATATAATTAAATGGAAAAGGGGAAAGAACAAAGGAGAGAAGGAGTACGCGTTTTAGGATTGAGAAGCAAGCCAACTCTGTTCTGTAACATGCCTGGTTTGGTCTCAATCTAAAATGGCACTTTAAGAGAGAGAATTATAAAGATGGTAAAAAGAGTATTAAAACATAATTTGAGATTTAAAAAAATTAAACATAAAAACTAATAAAGAAATAAAATAAAAAAGACAGAGAGAAAAAGGCTAGCATTAAGAAAGGTGGTGGTGGTGGTTGTGGGGTCCAGAAATTGATGGTGGCGATGGGGAGTTGCCCCCACCGCAGCTGGAGTTGGTGGAATTAAACAAAAACATGTTCATTTATTCCCACACTAAAATCAAAAGAAAACGATTTTGTAAAAATGTTATCTTTTTGGAAATAATAAAAGTTGCCGAAACCAATTCAGTGTACTAATAAATAAATAAACTGCTCTCTTGTGTCTTTGCGTGTGTGTTTTTTCAGTGGCAGCTCTGGGTTTTGAGTTTAATTTTTTATATAGAAATGTACTGTATTTTTACTATTGATTCTTTGTTTTGTATTTTTATTATTATTTACAGATGATAAAAAGGGTTTAAATTGTAATTACGTGGATTGTGAAATTTCCTTTTTACTGTTTAGTTGTTTTTGACTGTGGAAGTGTTTAGCTGTTTCAAAATCTGACTGCTGGCTGAGGTTTTTCGGCTGACTTTACCATCTTTTAACTGTTCTTTTGGGTCTCTATTAATATTTATAACACCCCTTAAAATGAGAACTGTCTATATAATAAGTTTAATTTATCATCAATGATAGTGTTTAAGGTTATTAATTTAAAGTCTTAAGTTAGAGGGAGAATATAAAATGATTCAATTAAATAATTTTGAGGGTTAAATTAATTAAAACAATATAGAAACAAAAATGATAATTATATCTATTACAAAGATAAAAGTGATCCTTAAACCATTATTAACAATCTTTGTAACTTAATTTATTTATTATTAACATTAAAATTTAAATTATTATTTAGAAGATATAAATCATTTTTATATTCAAAATATTTTTTATTAATTTATGATATTTATAAGAGGTACTATATATTCTAAAGATAACAATGAAAATTTAACACATTCACAATAGTGTGCTTAAACTTAAAAATTAAAAACTTCAAGAATAATAATATTTTTTTATAAAATATATAAAAATAGATTAAATTAAATGTTAGATGGGGAGGTATACATATACAGTACAAAGGGTTGGTCGTCTGATACTCATTGCCTCACCCAGCCTGCAAATAGACTGTCGGTGGATATTATTTTGTAAATAATATTTTGATCAAGTGAGGTGCAGATTTTGTGAAGCACCTTATTTAACCCTTGAATTACAATTCAGTGACGAACATCATCTTTCTTGATTCCCTTAATCATATGACACGTAGATGGTTATCCCAAAACATGAAAAATAAATGATTGATAGTCATTAAAAGGGGTGCCACGTAGATGAAGCTTTCTTTTGGCCTAATTCAACTCAACTGGGGTCCACACAGATTTGCTTACTTTCTATAATATTTTTGTAGAAAAAAAAGGTGGTACAACTGGCGATAGTGATTTCGCAGATGGGAAAGTGAGTTGTAAACCACAGAATCTCTCTCTCTCTCTCTTGAAGGGAGAGGGGAAGATTCGAGTATAATCCGAAACAGCAGATGGACAGCTCATTGAATTAACAGTGTACGGTAAAGACATAACGGCACCTTCTTTATAAATTAACTCTGTACGGTGAAAAAACTCTCTTTTTTATTTATGGAGGGAGGGAGGGGATTTTACCTTTTTTATGGGTTTGGGTGCAAACCAATACAGTTTGTTTTATTTTTAGTAATCTTAAAAATTTTGTTTTTTCTTTCCTAAATAAAAATTATTTTTTAAAAAAAACCTTGAAATTTAAAATTAAATAAAATATCTATTCAATCTTAATTTTGTATAATGTTGTTATTGTTATGATCTATAATGTTATAAGTTTAAAAGAAATAATTCTTAATTTTAAAAATTATAAAATATAATAATTTTTGTAATCTTAATAATTTGTACTGCTTCAATGAAAAGTAATGTTATTAAAATAACATTAGAAATGTCGTAAACGAAATATGAAAGTCAAATAATTACTGGAGGTGTAATGTATAAGAGCGAGCGTAGTACTATTATCAATGCGTCAAATACTTTAGACTCAAATGTAAGCGTGATCATTCGGTAATCGTCATGCTTCGACGAGATGCAAGGTTGTCACGAAACATCATTGTGATGGAGAACAAACTGACAAACGATGTTAGAAGTATTCAATAATAACATGAGATCAATCTAATTTGATTGCTAATTGACTCTCACAAGTGACAACACAAACCCTAGTAATACTCGCATCACATGGAATTATAGTCATACCTGACTTACCCCTATATTTTTCTCATAAATATCAAACTATACTTCAAACATGCTAAGCAAGTTCTATTTTATTATTTCGGGAGTACGAAATCTAGAAAAATGTATTAACTTTGGGGTAACATTCACTTTCGGGATTATACTAATTCGGACGAAATTACTTCAAGACAGTGATTATATGGTACAATGATTATAACGTATCTATTTAATTTATTTAATTATTATTTATGGTAATAGATATTAACTTCTCATTTTGAAGGAGTACCTTTTTATTAACACTGTAAAGACTCGTTATGAAGGCGAATCTTTTATTCTAATTTTCTTCATTCACAACATCAAGATTCAAATATTTGATATTGTTTAAGGAATCTAATGTCTCATCCTAAAAGACCAACTGGTTATTGAGAAATACTAATTTGAATAATTTGTAAGAATAACAAAACTATAAAAATTGATAAAAGTGCAAAAATTCACTTTAAAAAATTAAAACAATATGGGGCTGCCCGATTTCCGTTAAAATCGAGCTAAGAAAGTAGAAAAACTTAGCCCATAGTTTTATTGGGCTAAAATAACTCAAATAAAAAATTTCTTAATCATAAATTAAAGAGTTAATTGCATCATATATCCCCCACCCATGACTTACATTTTAATTTGGTCCCTAAACTTTTGAATAATCTAATTACATCATCAAACTATTACTCTCATTCTAAATTAGTCCTTAAACTTTTGAACATTCTAATTTCATTCCTAAACTATGACCATCTTTCTAAATTGATCCCCAAACTTTTTAATATTCCAATTTACCCCAAATTCATCAAAATATGTAATTAGTTTCAATCATATTTTAACCTAAATTTTATTTTTTTCCAAATGTATAATAATATAAATTGGCCTAACAATTTTATTAACAAGGGATGTGATTAGTATATACATATAGCTTGGGATGAAATTGGAATGTTCAAAAAGTTCATGGACTAATTTAAAATGAAGGTCATAGTTTGGGGATGAAATTAAAGTGTTCATAAGTTTGAGGACTAATTTGGAATCATAGTCATAGTTTAGGGATGGAATTGGAATATTTAAAAAATTAGGGACCAATTTAAAATGAGAATTATACTTTGAGAACACGTTATTGAATTAACTCTAAATTAAATGGGAAAAAAAAACCAATTTGAATCCCAACTTCAACATAAATAATCGATTTTGAAGCTTAGCAGGGAGTTGAATTTTAATCGTTACTAAGTAAGCAAAATTAATGAGAATCTAAACAATTGGATCTTTTGTCCAATCAGATTCATCCACCTGACTTGGTTTTCATGCAAGTAACTTTAATAGCTGCAGTTACTGATTTATAAAGATCCATCATCTTCCCTTTAATGAATCATGTGATAAGACAATCATATCTCTTATTATTCACATTAATCTCATCATTAGTTTTAGTCCTCTCCTCTCCCTCGATTTCTCATATAAATAACCTCCCACGATCTTACTCTCTTCGTTCATCCCTTGTGTTATTCAACTGTTTACTTGAACGATAGAAATATAATGGCAACCAGAGATTTGTTTCATGTTTTGGTCCTTGTCTGCTGTTGCCTTTTGGCTAGTGAAGCATCCGCAAGGCAACTCTCTAGCTCCGGCAAGCCAGGTCATACACTAGCGGCAAGGCTTGATCATAATCGAGGCTTTGCCGAGTGCTGGAATGCACTGAATGAACTGAAATCGTGCACCGATGAGATTATTCTCTTCTTTGTTAATGGCCAAACTGATATTGACACCGAGTGTTGTGGTGCGATTGAGGTTATCACTCGTCATTGTTGGCCTGCCATGCTCACGTCCCTTGGTTTCACATCTGAGCAAGGCAACATTCTTAGAGGCTACTGTGATGCATCTCCTGCTCCTGGTCCTGCTGCTACTGCTACTGCTACTGCACCACCTCTCGCTGGCAGCCCGGTTAGTCCCGTGCCTGCGATTTAAAGAAATCGGCATTCGGAACATTCCAGATTATACGGACTTTCTTAAGTGTTACGGTGTTTTATGTGTAATAAAGTTTGTTTGAATAAATGGAATTAAGGTTACAGTATTTCTCAATCATGCTAGTTTTGGTCTCTAATGTTTTTATTCACTATATTATGATTATGTTCACCACCCTGCTCAACATGACATGATAAATAATGCATCGATGAAGACACGATTACAATTTTAATCCAACCCATATTTAAGGTTGGTAATAATTGAGCCTACTAATTTATTAATTGTTATTGCATCGGACCTTCAAAAATATTATTCTCGTACCTCTTCAAAATCAATGATGGACGCAGGTTTTCATGTAAAATTTTAAATAAAAAAGAATTTATAAAATTTTAGGGACCAAAACATATTTGTAATAGAAAATATAAAATAAAATATCTAAAATATATAGAAATTTAAAATTTTTAAGGCCCCCAACTTACCTCCCTCTAGATCCATCCCTGCTCAAAATCAATACTCGAGTTCTAACACTTTAATTCGATCTAGTCTCATGATCAGTTTTCACTTTAATTTCTGGATGTATAAATTCTGAAGTATCGTGTTAATTTTAAGAGATATCGTCAATTTTCAAGGATTAAATCAATCATTATAATTTTATTTATAAGGAGGTGGTTTTATCCACGACACAATCAAACTTGAATTCTTTCAATTTTATTATTTTTCAATAAGTGCTGGCATTTCGATTTTGCAGCAGTACTTTAATATTTTCGTCAATTTAAAAGCAAAATATAATATTTTGTTCAAATGAAAATGATGAACAAGATGACACCTGAAACGATGCAAGCATACACAATAACATCATTCGAAGCACCGAAAAATATAAGAATGAAAATAATTTGAATGTTAATTAAATATTAAATAATTAATTATTAATAAATAGATGTATTTGACTTAATTTTGTTTCTTTTAATATAAAATTGAATATTACAATGTATATGTTTTTTAGTATAATATTATAATGTATATATGAAAATTGGAAGAAAAAAAATCTTATTGATTTTTAGAAGAACGAAAAAGAGTTTAAAATATATATTAAATCCGGTTTTTACTCAATCTATATATGTTTTTTTACCAAATATGTAATGTTAGATAAATATATGTATCAATTGTTTAAAATGAAAATACAGTCATCGTATCTGTAAAAGTGATCAAGTAAGAACCAAATGTGTAATATTTCACAAATATAGGTACCAAATTGGTTAAAAAAAGTTAAAACTATTGGTCTTCATGCAAGTTACTTGAGTAGTTGCAGTTACTCATTTATACAAAAAGCCATCATCTTTCCCTTAATTAATCATCTGATTTCGGACAATAATTGCATATTCAGTTTTTGTCCTTTCTTCTCCCTTGATTTCTCCTATAAATATCTTCCCACAATCTCACTCTCTTGATTCAACGTTTTGTAGTTCAATTATTTACTTGAAAAATACATATAATGGCATTCAGAGATTTGTTTCTTCTTTTGGTCCTTGTTTGCTGCCTTTTGGCTAGTGTGGCATCCGCAAGGCAACTCTCTAGCTCCGGCAAACCAGGCCATACACTAGCTGCAAGGCTCGATGATAATCGAGGCTTTGCCGAGTGCTGGAATGCACTAAATGAGCTGAAATCGTGCACCGATGAGATTATTCTCTTCCTTGTTAAGGGCCAAACTGATATTGACTCTGAGTGTTGTCGTTCGATCGAGATTGTCACCCGTAGTTGTTGGCCTACCATGCTCGCTTCCCTTGGTTTTACATCTGAGGAAAGCAACATTCTTAGAGGATACTGTGATGCATCTCCTGCTCCTGACCCTGTTGCCTCTGCTGATGCACCAACTCTTGCTGGGTCACCTGTTAGTCCACTGCCTGCAGTTTAAAGAAATCGACACTGGGAACCTTCGAGTTTATACGTATTTTCTTTGGTGCCACGGGCTTTGATGTGTAATAAAGTCTGTTTGAATAAATCCATCCAGAGTTATAGTTTTGCTAAATCATGCAAGGGTTTTGGTCTCTAATGAATTAAGTTTAAATTAAAGTCATAAAATTTCACACATTTTATGTTGCACCCCAATTTAGGGACTAAATTTTATTAATTTAAAGTATTGAATTAAAGTTGTAACAAGGGAAAAGTTGATAACTAAAATGCTTGATTTCGAAGTATGATGACTATTTTGCAAGCTTGACGATAGTTGAGGGACCCAAACCTAAAATTATCCATCTCTTGTTACCTAATAATAACAATAATAATAATAATAATAATAATAATGATAATAATATTTTTGGTGAGGATGCAACTATAGGGTCTTGAACCCACTAGCTACAGTAATGCAACCCTCATCCCTACCACCTAGGCTAGGTTCCTATTGAGTTTTGAATTATTAAAACTCATATTTATTGATTTTGGATCAAGTAACACCCGAAAATTCCTAAATTCCCTACCCAAACAATAGCCGCCACAACCCACTTCGTCAAATCAACGCCGTCTAGCCATCTTTGGAGTGTGCCGTCACCCTCAGCTAATTCTTCGTCGATCAACAACCAAAGCCCAAAAGCCATCGTAGCGTGATTCGGCGTCAATCAATGCGAATCGACGTTTGAATTACCGTCGAAACCCCCTCTCGTCGCCTCGATTAATTACAAAATTCGGCACCCAACGTTGTTCGTTTGCCTAACCACTAACGTGGTTGGACTCGTCGTCTCCATGCGCTTAAAACTTGACTGAGACCGTAACCCATCATCGCTTCGTCGCCTCGTCGCCGATCATTGGTTTGGGTAAGTTTCGACATTGTTCTATTGACTCCGGTGGTTTTAGGTGGTTTTGAGTGTTGAAATGGCTTTGTAGTGATGTCTTGGTGCTCCCGGAGTAGTCGACTGTCACCCCCGATCCCGTCGCCATCACCACGCACTACCGCGTAGGGCTCCTTCTCCAGCCGTAGCTCATTCTAGAAATGATCCAATTAGATCAAACCGGCCCAACCTGGTATGAACCGTGTCTGTTTGACCCGACCTAGTTAACTCAGAACGAACCAAATCAACCTAAATCGGTCTGACCCGTTGATCTTGACATGAACCATTGACTTTGACCTGACCATTGATATGTCAGTTGACTTTGACTTTAACAATTGACTTTTACAAAAAAAATTAAAATTTTCAAAAAGTATATTTTATATTTTACGACGTTCTGAGTCCAAATCTGAAGTCTGTTTTTCCAAATTTGAACTCATTAAGCTGTTTTTTGGTATTTTATCTCCCGATTCAATATGAATTTTCACATTTAAGTTCTGTTTCTAATGTAATTGATTTTGCCATGTATCTCAGACATTATAGGGCATGAAATTAAAGTTAAAGGGTGATTAAATGGAGTTTAATTGGTTAACCGATATGGCTCGAAAATTGAGGTAATACTTTACTACCTCTTTGGATGCTTTATGGAACATGTTGATATTGGATAAATGCATGGATGTATATGATGGGTCTATTATGCATGTTTGGTTATGGATGGACTCGAACTGAATACGATTTAAGTGATAAATTGGTTAAGACTCGATTGAATTGCACAAAAGTATTGATAGATTGATAAGAAATAAATTTAAGGTTAGTGATTAATAGACAAATGAATTAATTTTAGAATCTTTAAACTCTGAATATTATCGTTAAATGTTTTGATGTCGAAAATGTTTGAAAAGAAAATTACGAAAATACCCTTATAAAGTAAAAAGAGAACGGAATTGACCCGAATAGTGGAATTAACCTGATAATTCATTATTGACATGATATAACTACAGATCCATCGACTAAACTCCTGACTTGTTTGGAAGACTTGTAAATCGGTTGGAAGACCTGAAAATTGTTTCCTATTCCTCAAGATAAGTAATAACTAAACTACCCCTAAAAAGTCATCATTGATCTTATAGACTACTTATTCGCTTAATAAATACTTGGTTTGTTCATAAACATCCTGTTTATCGATTTTAAATTCCCGAGGTGATAAAAGATTTAGAATTTCTGATTTTGGAATAATCACCCAATGATTAAATTATTTGAAATTATATATATATATATATAATTGAATTAAAGAAAATGATTGGAATACCTTGAACTCGAAGATGATTGAAGCAATCTCAAGTATAAAAATGACATGACTACCCTTATGACGTAGAAATAAGTGAATGTTATTTGATAGTTTTGGAAACACAGAGAAAACCTAAGTAATATAACACCCCTAAAGGTTGTGGAGTACGAATCAAATACGTCGGTCATTTTAAAGATTGTTGCAATACATAAATAAAACAAATACCATCGAAATACGTAATGTTCCTCAAGATCCGTTCAACGATGGTTCTGAAGATGATCAGTTCGACTAGCATCGTCAGTATTTAAAGTGTGAATCTTCTTGAAGTGCATCGATTTGAGTGGTAAACAGGTATCGCAGTGTTGGGATTTGTTCAGTTCGAGTTGACCGATATCCTGATAACTCGACATGAATCTTGAATACCGTAAATCATCATTTCACCCTTATTATATTAAGTTGCTAAAAATCCATTAGAAATCAAAGTGTTTGAAATACTCTAATGGCATAAATGATGGAATCGTTCAGTTATATATGAGATCTTATTTTATTCTGATGTAAAGGTTCCTAAACACCTTTCTGATAGACCTGAAATCTTAAATGGTCCTGAAGCAACAATCTTTGAATGTCTGTTTAGATCCGTTAGCAATTAAACCCCTTTTTAGTAGGGATCCCATTTCTGAAATCCAATCAACTTGCAGAAGCTTGTGTTCCCCTTCCTGATAATAAATACGTGCCTCCGAAAAATAACTGGATTTTCTAGTGTGTTCCCTATATAATATATGATTGTTTTATCGGTATTGGAATGTAATTTATCTAAGTTACTGATTTATTGATTCTTTTAACTGTTCAAAATTTTGAATTACTGATTTATTAATTTACTGCTGTGAACTATGGCTACATGATATAATGTCATTTGGTTACCTACTTTCACTGGAAAATATAATTATTCCTGATTTATAGATCATGAAATTTATTGTTTACGATATGAACCGATTATTGGGATATTGTATGGGTAGGATTATGGAGTATGAAGGTTCAACTTTGATCAAGTTGGTAATTCCTTACAGACTTAAGGTGACCTTGGGTAGGCTCTCAAGCCCCAAGGCATTCCCTTAGGTTGGCTCCTAGGTCAATTGGGCCTATGGTGTCCGGGTGGAGGGCATTTATATAATTTAAATAACTACATTGTCATTTTTACAATGTTTTATTGAATCATGATTTTGATATTATAGTTTACTGCTCAATCTGATTTCTACTGGATATTGTATGGGTAGGAGTCTAGAGTACGGAGGTTCAGCTCTGATCAAGCTGATAATTTCTTATGGACCTAAGGTGACCCTTGGGTAGGCCCATAGGCCCCAAGGTATTCTCTTAGGGTGACTCCTTTGTTGTGTGCTTAAGGTAAGCCCTTATGAATATAGTTTTGGGGGACTGCATATGGAGTGTTCAGGTGAAGTGTATTACAGTGATTTTAAAAATTTATTTTACTGAAATAAAATATTACTATTTTTAATCTATGATTTTATTTATTCTGGTTTCGTGGGAACACACTAGACATCCTATTCCGATCTATTGAACTTGGTCCTCTGAACTTTTCCTCTAAACTGTAAGTTTCATGTCTTTTACTTGAATAATTATCAGTGGAACCTTAAATCATCACGGAAACATGTAGATGCTTGAATCAATAAGAAATTTTTTATGATTGTTAATTATATGTATGTCCTTCAGCATCATCTAGCAGTTCTGTTTTACCGAGTTTCCCAAAGCTCACTTTGTTATTGACCATTTCAGGTTAAAAGATCGATTCAGTGCAACTATCGACTTTAGTTATGAGAGTTCCTCCGACTTTGCTTATAGAGTATGATATAAGTGTAATTAGACGGCATGTAGGGCACATTTGGTTTTTATTTTCAGTCTGAAACTTTTATGATAGGTGGTATGAACGAATTTTGTTTTACGATTTGAAAGATTTCTACACTTGCTTTTTTATATGTTTTAATAAAAACTTTTAAATTTCTCTGTTGTTTTTATTGTGGGTCGCTCTAGTGACCCTAATGTAAATGGATGTCTCTTGTTCCCATATGTAATGAGGTAAGGGGAGGTAAGATAGTAGGCTGCCCCCAATACTAGGTTGAGAGCAACTTCCGTAGGAGACCTCCAAATTATGAAATGCCCTCCATGGGACTCGATCCCACGACCTCAAGGTTAAGAACCTTGTGCTCTACCAACTGAGTTGGATGGTCAGTTCAAATCGGATAAGGTCACCCGTATCGGTATGAGGATGTTACATTTTATCTACATCAAACACCTTCAAATTAACACTATATATTTTAGATTTTTCTTTATATTTTATTTTAAAACATTATTTTACTCTCAAAATTTTATAAGATAATCATTTTCAAAAATTTTAAAAGTTTCTCCTCTCGTATATTTTATAAATATGTACCTAATAATTTTTTTTGAAAACAAATGGTAGAAAATAAATTCCATAGGTGCTAGCAACATAATTAGTTAATTAATACCTCTCATCCAATTTTTCTCGATTGTCTCCTTGTGTACAAACTAAACGATCATCAAAAGTTGTAAAAAGAAATTATATTACTATTTTATTTGAATTAATTAATAAATTTTATATTAATAATAAAACAAATAAAACTTCCCCTTTCACCTCTCTCTCCTCCATTAATCCCTTTTTCTAACGTTCAACAACCCAAAACAAAAGGAAAGCTTGGTGCTACAAACCCAATTACCTTCATCATTAAAAAATGAAGCTTTTTATCAAAAGCATAAATCAGTCAACAATGGAATTGGAAACACCATTCTTCAAGTTTTCCTCCTTTTTTTAAATTAATAACGAGCCTCGAGAAGCACAAGATATACACATAAATTAATCAATTCTTCCTATTAAACAACACTAGAAAAATAAAAAATGATTCACCTAGAAACAAAGCAACACGACCGAAGAAGAAACCATGAAAGCATAGATCAAGATGAGGAAACCAAAATGCAATGCCCAGTTTCTCTTGAACTTTGCAAAGTAAGTTTCGGGTGGTTCCTGGTAATGAATCTCGAACTCACCTTCTTCCCCGAACCCATCAACGAACTCTCCATTGTTGATCCTAATCTTCATTTCCCTCAGCTTATCAGTAGCCAACCCAAGCGTCAGCTTGTGGCACCGTCTCTGGTACTTGAACCCATTGATACACCTCAGCGTCTGAGCCACCGAAACATAGAAGATAAGATGGGAGAGTGAAAGCAGAGTGATGGGTGCCCAGCAATGGCGGCATTGGAGACGAGTGGACTGAGCTTGAGCCATGAAGACGAGGGCTAAGAAGAGGAAGAAGAGCTGGAAAAGCTTGTGGAGCTCTTTCTTTTGGAGGTCGATCGCTCGTTTTTTTTCAAGGGTCTTCTCGAAGTGGAGTTGGATTATGGTGTTTAAGGCCTGGAGAGCAGTTTCTTTGGGGATTGTTGGGTGGTGTGGTGGCTCGTAGTCCGCCATTGATGGCCAGAGGAGAGGGTGGGAAGGGCTAAGGCAGTGAGGTTTGAGAAATGACTGGCGCTGGGAGGGATCACAGGGGTTATGCGAAGGTGGAGAGAGGGTTTGGATCTTAAGTCTGAATGAATGATTGCACAGGTTTCATTTGTGTAAAACTGTAAACTTACTTAGGATTCTCTGTTTATTAATGTTATCAGACATGTGAGTTCATCAATTCCAAAGTTCTTACACTTGAACCCCAGTTTACTTTTTTATTCATTGTATTCAAGCTGTGACCGTGAATTAATTTTTTCTTTCAAGAATGGCATAGTACACCGTGACTTAAAATAATAATTTGATAAGTCTAGTGATGATAACTATTTAAAATGTATTTTTAAAAGATTAACTTTGGGGGCATAGTTCCACTCGACTCATCTTACTCGATTTTTGTCCAATAATCTACCTCAAAAAATAAATATATATATATATTTTATTACATAAAAGTATAAAGAGAAGAGAACTATAGAAAAAATATTCTTAAATACATAAAAAAATATATCACTATTACAGAATCGAATAGGATATTTTTCACTTAAATTTTACTAAATCCAAATTCAATTTTTTTAAAAAGAAACCGGCCATATTAAAACAAATCAACCACAATTTTATCTTTATTGCACTTAAAGAGTTTGTAGTTTACTCGTACCGATAATGTGGAAATCGTATAATGAGCATTGTCAATGCACGCCAATATAAGACCCTGTTTGATAGTTGACACCTAAATCCTAAACACATTGGATCTGGAAGTCATCAGATCATTCCGAGGGTGCCGCGTCAAATTCAAATCAAATCCTAAAACATTTTAATGGAAATATTTAAAAAACCCGGTATCCAATATAATTTCCATGATCGTTTTATGACCGCAAACTGACACTAATTTAAATTTTGCTCGTACAATGCAATAGCTATTAACATTAATGTTCTTCCCCAACAATCTCTTAATCTAACCCAAACAACCTTACCCCATTGATGTTCTCAAAGGGGGGGACCATGAACAGTAAAATTAAACAAAATATAAGGAAACAAGCATCATAGTCACTAACCTCATTAATTGTCTGTCCGTCACCATATCTAGACGGTGATCTTCATCACAGGTCGTAACTTATGAATAGGGATTTGTATAATATAGAAACTCAAGGTACACCATCGTTCACTCTTCCCCACATCAACCAGACTTTCTCACTTGACACAAAAGACGGCAACTAAATTGAAAATGTAACTTACCATCGAAGCACTTAAAAGCACTTCCTGTGGACAATGGATGGACCAGATTCATCGTACTCACCCTTGGAAATCCACATCTGATGCAACAGGTAAACCAAGAAACTCAGTCTTGGGCAATTAACGTAAAACAAAAAAAGAAAGTAAAATACATCAAATATACTCCTACCTGCTGGAAGGTGCTGAGAGATGCCAAGATAGATCCTCCGATCCAGACACTGTACTTTCTCTCAGGCGGTGCAACCACCTTAATCTTCATGCTGCTTGGTGCAAGTGCAGTGATCTCCCTGCTCATACGGTCTGCGATACCGGGAAACATGGTTGAACCACCACTGAGCACGATGTTACCGTACAGATCCTTCCTGATATCAACATCACACTTCATGATAGAGTTGTAGGTAGTTTCATGGATTCCAGCAGCTTCCATCCCAATGAGTGATGGTTGGAAGAGGACTTCTGGACAACGGAATCTCTCAGCTCCAATAGTAATGACTTGTCCATCAGGCAATTCATAGTTCTTCTCAACAGAAGAGCTGCTCTTGGCAGTCTCCAGTTCCTGCTCATAGTCCAGGGCAACATAAGCTAGCTTCTCCTTCATGTCACGGACAATTTCCCGTTCAGCAGTGGTGGTGAACATGTAACCTCTCTCGGTAAGAATCTTCATCAAAGAATCAGTGAGATCACGACCAGCAAGGTCTAGACGGAGGATGGCATGTGGAAGGGCATAACCTTCATAGATTGGTACAGTGTGAGAGACACCATCACCAGAATCCAACACAATACCTGTTCCAATAGGGAGATACTTCAGTGTTATTAGCTTGATCAGGAATGATATATAAAAAACCAGACCAACAATACCCAGAGCAATCTTAATTTACCATCTTCCTAACAGGTAACAAAAATATGAAAAGAAAAGTCCAAAGAGGTCTATATTCTAACCAACCTGTTGTACGACCACTGGCATACAAAGAGAGAACAGCCTGGATGGCGACATACATGGCAGGTACATTAAAGGTCTCAAACATAATTTGAGTCATCTTTTCTCTGTTGGCCTTAGGGTTGAGAGGTGCCTCAGTGAGAAGCACAGGGTGCTCCTCAGGAGCAACACGGAGCTCATTGTAGAATGTATGATGCCAGATCTTCTCCATATCATCCCAGTTGCTGACAATACCATGCTCAATTGGGTATTTCAAAGTAAGGATACCTCTTTTGGATTGTGCTTCATCTCCTACATAGGCATCCTTCTGTCCCATCCCAACCATGACACCAGTGTGTCGGGGTCGACCAACAATACTGGGAAAAACTGCCCTAGGGGCATCATCACCAGCAAAACCAGCCTGTATGGTTAAACAATGTCGGATCAACCACAATAAAGTAATACATTTTTCATAAACAAATAAATAACGATGGAGAATATAAATCAGGTCAAAATCAACTAACCTTCACCATTCCAGTTCCATTGTCGCAGACAAGGGGTTGAATGTCCTCAGCATCCGCCATATTTTACTACTACAAAAAAGAATCTAAACAGAGAGTACAGCAAAATAGCATGTCAGTCTGAACTCCATATCCCTCTCAACTAATATAAGCAAACCAAATTAAAGTCCTAAGAGGAATTAAGTTCTAGCTCCTCTTAGTGAAAGAAGGAAACACTTCAGTCAATATTCATTTCTTCAAATACATAATATCGTAGCTAGCTAGAAATACAAAATTTTGTACCGCACTGGGGAAACCAAATTTAGTCAGTTCTCAACATAGTTTTCAGCATCTAATTAAGCTACACAAGAAATCGATGGAAAACAAGTTGAATTAATCATACAAAGAAATAAAGATCAAGATAAGAGCATCTCCTTAATCACAAAAATAAATCTTCGAAAAGCTTAACGTATTCACAATGAAAGCATATCAGAACAAGTTGGAAAAAGATAAAGTTTAAATAAAGCTAAAAAAATCATTTTCTCACAAGATCTATACATAAATCGCAAAATGTATCTAAACAGATCGAGCAAAGTAAAGATCGAGAAAGAGAGCAAAGCAGATCGGACTATATCTCAACTCTAAACAACACTCCAGTAACTTCTAGAACCCTAGATCTCAGTTCCATGACCGACGAAACATCAAAAAGAAATCCACAAATCGGGAACATTTGAAGTGAAATCAAAGCAACACTAACATATTTACCAGAATAAGGAAGAGCGAAGGAGGAGTAAATGGCGGCGCCTTGATCTACTTTCGTCACTGTTTGTGGCTGGCGAAAGCGTTGACGATAGGATAAGTGAAAGGAAACAAAGGGGTATTTGTACAGAGAGAGAGTTGGGGAGGTTTTGAAATGCAAATGAAATTCGAGGGAAATTGAAAAGGAAATTTGAAATTTAAAGGAGGGGAACTAGGAAATCATTTGCACCACCAAGTGAAGAAAATTGGGTCACCTGGCTTTGCACGGCAGTAGGATGATAAACGGGTACAATTTCGTAGATTTTGTATCGTATTTGTTTTAATTAGAGCGGGGATAGGTATAATTTTAGCGGGTAGTGGGCGGGTGTGGATTTATAAAGTGGTACGCATCGTGGGTGGTGGGCGAGTAATGGGTTTGAGACATTACCCGCCCCACATCCGCCCGTCTAGCTAAATATCTATTAAATTTTAGACCATTATGAATTTAGGTGTAATTTTAGAGACTAATTTATAAATTTTAATATTATTTAATATATAACATATAATTTAACCAAATATTAAGATATTTAGTCTTTAATTAGGAAAATATTCGCCTCTTTGATTAAACTCATAATCCCACTAACCACATCACTTTTCATATTTTTTAGTCCATGCTGCTCATTCAAACACAAATTAGCCGTACTATATGCATTAACATCAAAAAGCAGAAGTTCACATATTCTTTAGCCTCTCAAAACCCATATTAGGCGCACTATGAGCATTAACATCTAAAGCAACTCAACAATCCAGCTCTGCGACTACATTCTCCCTACAATCTGTCTCCATAACATTCGTAGAGCCACTCCTCTGACAAATTGAAGCATGCGTTGCTACCCCATCACGAACTGTCTGAGAACCAACTCCAACATCACATTAGTTTGCTGTCAGGTGGGTCTAGATGAGTATGTCGCTAGTGGGTAGTAGGTGTGAGGATAGATTTGAAAATGTACCCGCGTGGACGGGTGTGGATTTAAAATTTTGTATCCATCATGAATGGTGAGCGGGTGGTAGATTAAAAAATATTACGTGGATATGTGGATGAGAGAGGGGTATCTACACTTGACCTGCCCGTTTGCCATCCTATATGGCAGCATGCAGTCTTCCTTTTTTTTTTCAATAAAATATTCTTAAAAGAATTTTCTAGAAACACGGGTTATCAAAATGTGATAATATATTCTATATATAGTGAATTTACAGATGTCGGATAGTTTATTATTTTTAATATATAGTTTCTCAAATAATTTTAACTTTTTAATTAAATTTATATCTCGATAATACATTAATTAAAATAAAATAATAATAAAATAAAATTAAGAGGTTATTTACACTTTATATTTGTGATTAATTTAAATTTCCACGTCAATAATATAATAAATCATTTTTAATGGAATATGCTAATCTTATTTAAAGATAAAAATTATAATAAGAGTCTAAATGTATAATTTAGACATTTCTATGTAACATTGACACAATGAACGATATATTTTACTTCAAGGTTAAAAAATATAACCAAAATCTCAAACAAATAATAGATACGATCAAATCTGATTGCATCGGCAAGATTAAACTATTGAAAGACTACCGAAAATCGTAAATCAGAGCTGAACGT